CAATCTAAGAAATATTTCCAATGTATTAATCTACTAGTTTACATTTATACTTTAAATTTGTCCCGAACAACAGTGTGTAAATAATACATAGTAGTAGCGCAAACATTGCTAAAAATTTAAGTGATTATAAGTGCCGTTTAAAGGAGAGATCGTTATCTGAAACGTGAACATCGTCATTTCTAAAAGTTGGTACGCTACATTGCAGCTTGTATAAATATTCCATCATGCATTTTACTCCGCCGAGTACAAAGATGATAAAACCGCAACACCGGAGCACGACATACAGAACACGAAGGTACAAAAGCAGGCTTGCGTGCAAGTTCGCAGGCAGGTGTTAAACGGGCCAACTTACATGATGGCCTGGCGCGTGTTGACAGAACTGTAGGTGACATGTGGAGGCAGCCGCGTGAAAAGATCATTTCATTAGTGCAGGTCAAGCAAGTATTGGATAACGACAGGGATCGACAAGAAACACGAAACACTTGATCATTCGAATTACGTTATATCCCGAGATATTCGCTTCAAATTGCGAATAATGACCAATATTACTGCAGCATTTGGAAAAACGACATTCGGTTAGAACGACGCGCTATTTGGCGACCTTAATAACTCATTGTCATCCAAGACATATCGGAGTCATGGAGTAGAACGGTAGACTTCACATTGGTAGACTTATTGAAACAGACAAGAAGCACAACGACAGACCGACGTAAGCGGAAATCGGAAGGAAGAAATATTCCTCCGTGTAGAAGGGCGGAAGCATATATATCACGATTTTGGATGTCCTAAGACAGGTAGTATCGGAAACACGCAGTTCTACTGATATAAAAAATAAGCGAGTATTTCAATCCGACGAATGCAACTCGGCAAAATTCTAATCTCGTCCGCAAATTTGAGGAGAGCCAAACATTCTTCACAATTTCATAATTACGACTTAAACTTCTGTAAAATATATGTGATTTTCCATGCTTCTCCTCTCTTAATCTAAGAGATACTTCGAATAATCATTGGGTCGGTTGTTACCGTGCAGGAGGCTTCGTGAAGTTTTCCTAGTTTGGCTCGAATGAACGGCCTGAAAAACAATGAAATGAACGACTCGCGTCATTGATTTGTTGTCTTCCTTCCTCGAAAATAACGCGTTTCATGTAGTCTGACCTTAGTTGCCGCCAAAGGAACATCTGAACTGGGATAGGCAAGGGGTGCTCCTGCAGCCCTCCGTCCAAGGATCGCCGTTTATCCATGATCGCTCCGGGGATCACTGAAATATTTCAAGTACAACAAGATCTCAACGAATGCAACGCGATCATTTCGATGCAGCAGTGGTGCGGTCGTGTTGCCACGTGGCTCACCTCGCAAAACAGAACAGTACGTCGATGCACACACCCTCCGTCGAGTTAACAGCGCTCCGTCATATCCGATTCTTAAGCGACGTCAAGGCTGTGTATGCTCGCGAAGAGGTCGCAGATCAGGATTCACGGAGATCTCAATCCGCACGATCCCTCCGGCAGGAGTCGGGGTGAAGAACTCGAGTCATCGTGCGACGTTATCCGGGCAGGCGCCGCGTGTTGGACGCAGCCGCCGGGTGTGACGTCGCGGAGCAGCGCCGCTGAGAGTATCAACTCGGCCTAGTAACACACTTCCGTCGCAGGTGCGCGAAGGTGTTGTATGCAGCCCGGCACCGCGTATAACTGAAGCGAGACGCGCCCTCGTCCACGGGGAGGATGGTGGTGCGCGTGCGACTCTCGGGAAATCCAATGCGCCGGTCGTTTCATCGATCAGTCCAGGAATCTGCCGCTGGACCACCCCTACGCCGCCCCCTACCAACCTACATTTACCCACCTAGCCTTCGCCGCCGTTTATACGATGGGCGAGGCCATCTTCCGCGGAGCAATGACTCGGGAAGAAAGCGCGTCCGCCTCTTCAAATCAGGGTGTGTACCGACGGATTACGAATTACGGATGATCGATACGACCGACGGGACGCTTCCGAGCTTTCACGGCAAGAATGCGGGATATTGTCGGTGCTGATAGCGCGTCGTAAAGAGAATAGAACGAAACATGTCGACGGTATAGTCGAACGAGGTCGATACGTAGTACCGAAGTACGAGCAGGGCTTGTGATTGATTAGCGAGCTCGCCTAGGAAAGTTCGGCTTCCTCCCACCGTCGCTCCACTCCGGGACACCTTCGTCGGCATCCTTACGTGTGTCAAGACGCTCCTCGGCGAGATGCGGCCTTTTGTCGATGAAACTTTCGACGTCCTTCAACGTCATATCCAACTCGAACGCGATTTCGCGAGCACATGCCGTTGGTTCATCCGTCTTCGGGTCGAAGATCACCGGGCTGATCTCTATACAGACCTCCGTGCTATCGTTCGCATCGCCAGCCACCCTCTCCGCCTCCTCGTTCACCGTCTCACATATATCATGCCACAATTTCCTTTGGCCTGGATGAAGATTTCCGATTAGCTCCCGGAAACCATCCCAGTCCATGCCCTCGCTGTTGTCCAGAACCTCGCGATAAATCGGCAAAATTTCGTCGTTGTCGACAGGCGACACGTTCTTGTAAATAATACGTCGTGTGATTTTCCCGGAGGATTCGTCCGCAAGTTTCCCGAGCTTGTCGACGGTTGAATATTCCTGCGACGCGCGATCCTCCGGCTCGTCCACACTTCGGTTTCGCGTTTCTGCGACGTTCCTTCGCATTTCGATCAAGCGACTCTTATCTTCCGGTAATTTGGACAATTTCGTTGGAATGCAATCATCTAACCAAGTATTCATCATACCGTTGCTCACCTTGTACGTTTTATCAGAATGAACGAATGTCGCGTTACTGGATTCAGAGCGAGCATTATTTAACGCGCCGATGGGATAGGTCGCTAAATCCTCGACACGGCAAGACGTACATGCGGCATCTTCAGCGATGTCCGATAGTATCAACTTCCCGACTGGATGATATATCTTGTTTCGTGCTTCCGGAGATGAGCGAATAGGGACATCCGAATCACGCGCTCGCGGTTCGCCCATCGACTCTCTCGCGTTGTCAGAACGCCGGGCCTCTGCAATTTCGGCTCTGACATGTCGAGCGATGTCGAGGGAAGGTCGTGACGAAACTAATCGGCGACCTAGCGGAATGTCTCTGTCGTTCGCGTCGTCCAAACTTCCCATCCATTCTTGTATTAAATTCTCAGTGGAAAACGAACTGCAAGTCATCGTGTCACTTTCTTCCCTTCGCTCTAACAGAGCGCAACTTTCGAGAGAATCCTTTTCCATACAGTCAGCCCAACTGCCCGTCTCCTTCTTCGAATTCTTTTCCATATTCCATGCACGAAAGCCGCCGCTTTTGTCGTTCGGCATCGGATAACGGTATTCATCCGAAGCTACTTCCGGCGAATGTCCTGATTCGCCGAACAACCAGAAGCCAGACTCGCGTTGCGGATAATCCTGACTGCCGTACCGAACGGAACACTGCCTCTTCCTCGGGTCTCCTAAACGAACGGAGCATCTATCTGGTAATTTCGAGGGAACATCGTCCTCTTTCTTGTCCAAAGCCGTAAATTGGCCACGTGCCAGATATTTCACGGTATCGACGACTGAAACGTTGTCCTTCTCGAAAATTCGTCGCAGACTCTTTCGCGTGCTTCTGGAACCCCAGTCGACCATCGGCAAATTGTTGGTCTGCGATGTATTCTCGTAAGAAATTTTCCTCAAGACTTTCTCCGCGTCGATATCAGTACAGGCCTTCGTCGTCATCGGAGGCTTGTCACGACACGAACGATCTTTTCGCGTAGTACTGTTCAATTCATATCTGATATTCTGCTTTGCCGCTTCGTAGTCCGCAAATAATCTCTTAATAGCGCTATTATTAAAATGAGGTGTTTCTTTAATCCTAGCATCAGTTTCCGTATTGGAAATATTATTAGCGTCATTTGGGCGTCCGGCGCGACGCCTCATTACGAAAGAGCGTTCCCTCACTGATTCCGTCTTACTTAATCCTCCTTTGTACTTAGCTCGGTGATCTACTTCAGCACTATCAACGGACGCTCTTAATTGCGAGTTATTTTTCAAATTCATTGAAATCTGGAATTCCTCCTTATTTCGGCAGTCGTTGAGGCAATCTGCCGTCATAACATCGGTGCCTCGCACGACTCTCGTCCGGTTTTCTTCAATTTCTTCGATAGCGGGATACGATTCTACCATGCGACTTATTACTCCGCAACGTTCGCACCTGTACAAGGAAGAATCGTTTAAGAGAAGGTCGTCTAATTTTTTGTCACGACGCAGCGCTATCAGATATCGCAGTGTCCTCGAAATCTCGCTGCAGCAATTACTAGTCAACGAGGAAACCTCGGGATCGGAATCCGTAATGAAGTCGAGAACTTTGTAGATCGCCCCTAGCTCGATGAAGAGTGCTCTCGACTCGTTATTTGTGTTCTCGCGTGCTCCAGGACGTGCGTTACTTCCATACGTTCGATCGTCTAATTCGTTTTCATCCCTGTGCAATGCAGAAGTCGACCGTTCGTCCAAGTTAAATGGACGACGTGAATTATCATGATTCAACCTTTCGTACATAGACGTAAGTTTTGGTCTTGCAGCGTTCTGATACGTCTCCTTATTCTCTCTTTTATGCTCGTCCGATGAATACAAATCTCGTTTAGCCCTGTGCTCGATCACGGTATTTAAAACTCGCACGGACGGTCTTAATGTGTCACTCGAAGATATAATTTGGGACATTGGAGCGATCGTTACCTCCCACGAATTGTCATGATCCATGCTTGACGATACGTGACATTCGTTGGAGGATATTCTCGATAATGCATTCTCATCTAGGTTAACCTCTAACAAAAGATCGAGCTCTTTCTTCAAACCTGTATTTTTCATGATTTAACATTGGACGCATTACTTTAGAAGTTACAATTGACAAGTAATTTTATTACCGGTTATGTTTCACATTCATACACCATCCTCAATGGCACGAATCATCTTCGTAGATTACATTATCTGCACATATAGCGATTCAATTTGGATTATACGAGGTCACGAGGTGTGTTTTTCAAGGTTGTTTCATATGTTTTTCAAAGTTACACGCAACTACCGCAATTGCGCGTGTAGATTGTGAAGAAACTTTGATGATGAGATTGACGTGAAATTTGCCATTTTCCGTCTCTACGGATAGCTTTGCGATATAACGGGCCACCCATTATATGACAAACAACGTACAATCTTAACAGTGACGAAAAATATCCAAAGTATATCGCAAGTGTAATAGTATAATGACAGAGTGTATATACGCTCGTGGAAATAAAAAAATGACTGTCTAGCCTGCCGTCAAAGAGAACGCGTACGCATGAAAGAGAAGAGGTTCTTTTTATATGAGGATGCCTGAAATCATGGCAGAGACATTTGTGAGAGGGCTGGTGGACAAGATAATGGTAGAAGTTCTGAACGTCATAGTCACCATGCAGAACGGTAAGGTGCGAGTGCGTTAGTGTGCGTTTCGCAAATGCAACGGCGCGCTGAATAGCGGCGTTTTCGCATGCACGTCGATATTGTTCACTGGCAAAGGCACGTTGTTCCAGAACAGCACAGCCTCCTGTACGCGATGATAAGTTAGACGATCGATATGTATCTCGCGGAGATAATTGCGTAATAATGTATAATTATCCATATTAAGCGCGAATAACATGCGCTAATGAACCGTCATCAGGAAAACCCTGGGAACAGCGAGTCGACGAGGAAACAGGCGACGGCCAGTCGGAGCTCGTGCATGGGAGATCACAGGCACACGTACAGGTGAACTATAGCAAAGCCGACGAAATGGAGCTGATCGCAAAGATAGTTCGCGATCTGCGAGACGTACAGATCGGAGATTCGTGTTACGTACTGCCACCTCCATTGTTGGCGTTGGAGAAACAGGTAATTGGATGTACAAGAGAGACAATAAGCACGTCCTGTCGACAGGTTATGATTCAATTATAATTACTTACAACGGTTATACAGTCGTTTAACCCTTACGTAGTAAACAAGACTACTTTTCTGATAAAGATACAGATGTTAAATTATTAGAAAACGTGTATTGAATCAAATAATCTCCAGGACAATCAAGTTACTTTCTCTGTATCATAGAGCAGTTTATGTTGAAAAAAAGAGGGATATTAATTTCAACAACTTTGAGGAGGTTCTATATTTCCAGTGACGCATCTAGGGGACCTCTCATAAATTCATTATTTATTAAGCAAAATTTCTTTCCTACACATTTATTTCACTAACCAAATAGTAAATGTTAATTTGAAATTAAGCTGAGCTGAATATATACGCAATATTACAAATATCATTATTCTTTATTTTTCCTATTAATGTTATATTGATGCATCAGTTGATCTGATGGAAATGCACAGATAAAGAAGTATATAAGTATTTAAATATGTATGTATCTTGAATACTGTTATAAACTTTCCACTACTATATGTTCTCAAAACAAAACGGTCAACAATTCTAAAATTTGCTTATAATATCTATATATTAGTCCTTAATATTACAATAATTTTTCAAACTTCTACCTGATACACAAATGTGATAAATTAGAAGAAATTTGATATTTTCCTATGCTTGCACACACATAAGTTTATAATTAAATATCTCGAAAAGGATACGGTAAAGATTATTTCTATTGCGCATTATTAGTTCAATTAACTTTTATATCATATATATATTACAGGTTTATCTTATATTTGATTAAACATTAGAAGCTCCTTCGTGATTACGATAGGAATCCCATCCATTGAACACGCGATAATCGCGCGAGAATGAAAAGTGATGATATCAAGTTGTCTATCGTAAAAGGGATTAGAATTCCGGTCAATTGGCGTGTTCGCTCATTTACTTCGTTAGAAGCGGTTCCAGCCGACAGGGAGGCTCGCGTGCGAAAGTTCTCGCGTGCGGCGCAACATGCTCGCGGTTTGCTCCCGTGGCGCATTAATTCCACGCGTAACTCACGGTGCTCACGAACATTATCCCGATGAGGAGGCTCGCTCACGCACCTGTCTTCGCTCGAACAGGTGAAAAACACCGCGGGCAACATCGAGGACGCACCGGGCGCGACTGACGCGATCGAGACGCGCACGACTCAGGGTCAAGGCGACACGCACACGAGCGAGCAGACGGAAACCGTCCGGAAGGAGAAGGAAGAAGGAGAAGCGGCCAACGTGTCCATCGGCCTACTGCACCAGCTGATCGAGGAGTTGCAGAACAAGCAGATCTCGGCCACGAGCTCGAAAAACGTAGCTTCCTTGACGACGTCGACATCGAGCGGCGAAGAGCATATCTCCATTTGGGAGGAGGAAGAAGAACAGTTCATCAGAACGATCGAGCACCCTGGTAACCCGACTTTCCGAGCGAGCGAATCGGCTGCTTGCTTCCGCGACGTCGAGCTGCAATCTCGCGAGGAGCCGACTGCTGAACTGAGGTCTCGCTCGAGCCAGCACGCGGCGTCCACCTCGAGGGAAACCTGCCTCGAGGAGGTTCCGATCGTGAAGTACGAGTCGAGCCCGCTGTCGAAGTCGCGGCGTGAGAACGCCGCGATGATGGAGGAAATATTAATCGTGGACGATATCGAGACTCAAAAGGAAGGCGAAGCGACGATGGCTACGAATAAGAAGAAGAAGAAGAAGGGCCTCGGTGGGAGGCTGAGGAGGTTCTTCCGCGCTGTATTCGGCCGGAAAAACTGAACTTCGGGGGGGGG